TCCCGACCCCCCCCCCCCCCTCTTTTTTTAAAGGATGTCTATAAACTTCAATTTCAATCACACTAAAAACACAAAACCTAAACTTTATTATTCTTTCAAGTTATTAAACCGATTTACATTCATTTCTTTGCCAAAGGTTCCAAATGAAATTTCGCTTTATATTTGTCATTTTATTATTTGCATTCGATCCTGGCTCCTTAATATGGATCTGCTGTAGCATCTTCCTTGAAATGTCTTGTCTTTACTCATTCATCTGTCCACCAGTATTTGGGGATCTTCTCTGTGGTAAGCACTGGATGAACTTTATACGGTCCTGCCATCAAGGAAATCAAGGAATGCATGTGTTCTAGCTTGGGAGGCTAATAAATCAATAGGTAATCAACATACTGGGCTGTTCGTTAGGTATAGTAATAAATATAAGTACTGGTTGCAGTGGCTTTCCATAACATGACACTGTCCTGCTTATTCTCTTACCTGGCTGATCACTTTTTTCTTTTTTGTTATTTTTCTCTTAGTCATACATTCTCCAAGGTTTAAAGCATGGTATTGAGAGAAACTGGGTTTTGTTCAGTGCCAACTCTTTATGTAAGCAGAGGTATACTGGCTTTTCTACAGTGGATTCTTGTCTGTTTAGACTTTCTTAAAATAATTATGTTCAGATAAAGCCAAATCGCCACACACCACACAGTATTTAATTGTTAGAACCACATCTCAAGAAGAATGCTGATAAACCAGAGCTTCCATAAGAATAATTGAAAGAATAATAATAGCTACCTTTTATTAAGTTCTGTGTGCAGGGCAATGTGCTAGGAGCTCTTATTCTTTGTTTATTGAAATGTGTACTGAGGAGGACTTATTCTGTGCCTGCTACTGCTTGCATTAGGCACTCAGAGTAAAGTGAACATGGTAGATAAGGTCTGTTCTTACGGAGCTTTCTATGTGTTATTTGATTCTCACAGCAGCCCATGAGAGAGGTATTATATGTTTATTGTTTTGCTGGGAAACAGTCTGAAGGAGATGAAGTAAATTTTCCAAGGTCATACAGCTAGTAAACAGGGCCTTGCAGCTTTTCCACCGAAGTTTCTCATCTGAACCGTACAACACAAATGACTATATTCTCATTTTTTCCAAGGATAATGTATAAGCAATACTACTTCAGATTTCTAAAAAGAAGTTAGTCCATAATGTATAGTGGATGCTTTGGGCTGGGCATTACGGAAACCCATGGTTATGAAAGAAATCCCAGGCTATATACTATGAGTTTTAGACTGGGGAAGAATAAATTAAGGCTGAAGGTAAGGAGGACTTTATTAAAACTTAGAGATGCCTAATATTGGAAAATACTAAGTCAAAAGGTAATGAATTAAATGCCAGAAAGTTCAGATAGAGTCTGAATTCTGTCAAGGATTTTGTCAAAAGAATTCTCAGTGTGAAATAGGGCTAGATGACTTCTCTTCTTTCCCATTTAATCTATAATTTTATACACTAAAAAATAAACTTGCTTAAAATTGGAAATGGGCAACTGGAGAATGAGAAGAAAAAAATTAGGTGTGATA